GTCCGCACTTATCCTGATAGTGTTTCGTTACACATAGTACAAATAACTGTATGATGATCTGGACAACAAGGAGCATTACAACTTGAACAATGAGTATTAACCTTTCGATCACGTTCTCTTGGGCAAAGATGACAACGTTGCTTGCCAGTAGGGGTGGACCATTTAATTTAATTCTACTTAATTAGCGGCCGTTAATTAACGGAACCCGTTAACCGTTAATATTAACGTTAACATCAACCGTTAACGTTAATATTAACGGTTAACGGGTTACTGTTTACGTTAATTTCAAATTAACGGAAATGGTCCACCCCTACTTGCCAGTAGATGCTGAAACAATAGTTGGATGAGAAGTAGTAACAGTGAGTCCAAGTGCTTGTATGGCTATTCGAACATTCTGTTGAAATGTATGTGGTTGCTGTCGTCGTCGGTCTAAATGTGTGTACTTGAACATACCAGACAAATGATGTATGCATTCACGTATGATCGAAGAACGGAATAAGATATACATATCGTATGCATGTATCATGACACGACGTCGTATCAATAGGAGGAAAAAAGAAACTATGTATGTAGGATAGCACTGTACAAAAGTATTCTTCATGGAAATATTCAAGTTTTTCATTACAGACAAAATTATTTCAAATGATAACAGACGATTCGTGAGAATACTCAAATATATCCAATATAGCGTTGTCAAACCATTGATATACTTTACACCTTATTATATAGGTCTAAAATACTCTCATAGAGGTGGACAGATGCGTAAAGTATGAGAACGAAAAATTTATATTCGAATATTAAGAGAAAACCAATGTTATATTATGGGGTCCGATTGGACCCCAGGTGGGCAATATGCGTATATAAGCACTTTGAGTTAGTTTATCTCATAGATAACTAAAAGAACTGAGTGAATGCTTTCTATAGTATACTCTACTATTCTTCACTGGAGCATACCTAGAGTGGGGTGATATGATCTATGATCGTTTATGTAAAACATTAGAATGAAACTGGTTGGGGCCCGCTTGGACCCCAGGTGGGCGTTTCAGGGTTAATTAAAAAGCTTAAAGGCCTACAAAAACTCTCAATATATCGAAGCTCAGCATTTAAGATTGCTCTCCAGTATGTACCTTGTGAATGAATGTATTTTTGGATTACTGGTCTTTGCTATGTGGCAGTCAACCGAGTGTGTTTTTACTTTTTCGTAATCAACTCTTCTATATAGCCCTCCTCTCAGGCGCGGATGAAATGTTTTCTTCATTTTTGTCACATCCCTGCCCCGTCACCCCTCCTCCAGCCAACCTCGAGCCTCAGCATTCCTCCAAAATCATGTTTTACGAAGTTTTGAGCCTTTTTCACGAAAATGTTTTTTTGACCTTTGACCCTTGACCCCGACCCCCACCCCCTCCCCTTAACCAAGATCTAACCACAACACACCTTCCAAACGATGTTTTATGAAGTTTTGAGCATTTTCAAAAAAATGTTTTTTTGACCTTTGACCTTTGCTCCCAAGACCCCCACCTTACCCTCNAACAACACCCAAAACCATGTTTTATGAAGTTTTGAACATTTTCAAAAAAAAATGTTTTTTTTGACCTTTGACCTTTGACCCTGACACAAACAAACAGACAAACAGACAAACAAACTTTTTTTTTCATATGACCCTCCTTTCAGTCGAGGGAATAACACTGATCATATTATCATTTTTATCCATGTGCTAACATCGATACATTTTATTAGAATATAATCAAAAGATAAAATAAACATATTTGATGGGATTAACAGCAGCTTTGAATTTCATTTTCATTTCTTTCGAATAAGCTTATTTCGAATAGATAAATAAAAATTTATTTGATAAATAATTTCAATTCACAATAAATAATCAAATAAATATCAATATTTTGTCGATGTTTCGAAAGCTAATCTTTCATTATCAAGACGTGATGGTAAAAAGCGGGAAAGAGAAGAGAACAAGTTAAAGAACAGAATAGAAAGAACGAAGAAAAGGGTTAACACGTTGTAGTTCGTAGTAGAAAATCAAAGAATCGATGCACATGGGATGAAGTCTGAATTACGATATTTCGTAAGACTAGATATCAACCAATGGCAATGAATCCAATGTCGATCTTATCTTGATTTTAGGCTTAAATAACATTAGACCTTCAGGAAAGACTACTAACGGTACTGAGTTCGTTGTTCTGTTTAAATTAGGTTGAAGGCTATTAATGAGTAGAGATTCTTTAACTAACAATTGGTAGTTTTTGCTGTCTTTAGCTAAGATGTTAAAATTGGTCCAGTCAATGTGGTGGTTGTTATTCAACTCATGCTGTTTAACTGCTGATTGAGTAAGTATATTATGTACAAGAGGTCTTGCTTCAACTGTTGTTTTTATTTCGATCTGATCGTCTTAGCGGTAAGGAATCAATATTTGAATTAAACGGAATAATGGCAGGTTCAGGATTTAGATCGAGTGTTGCTCCATGTTCGTGAAGTCTTCTGCTCACGTGTCGTACTGTCTTACCAATGTAAGTGGCATCACAATCAGAACAATTCAATTTATATACAACTCGAGATTTGACTAATTTAGCTACAGAATCTTTGAGTGGAAAATACTGGGAGAGAGAACTCGACGGTCTTTGAATCGGTTGAAGATCAACATTTGGATCGATAGCTTTGTTTAGTTTGATCATTTGTTTTTTAAAAACATCTGTTGCTTTACCGACGAAAGGTATGTCGAGAAAAACGTGTTTTCTGTTAAGCAGTGAGTCGTTATCGAGTGTCTTTTTGTCTTTAGAATCAGAAGCAACTGTTATATTAGACTTTTCTATATACCTATTCAAACTTTTCTGTATTTGCGCTCAAATGAAATTGATTGGATAACCGTTTAAAAGACTGATGTACTCAATGAATTCGAATTCTTCATGCAACAACTGGTAAGATGAACAAATTCTGATAGCTCTATAGATCATGCTACTCAAAGTACTGATTTTGTAAGGTGCCCGCAGGTCAAAAATCGAGCGCTATCTTTGAAGTTTTTTAAAGCCACATATTCCAATAGATCTCGTTGCGCTAATTCCGAACATCACCTTTTTATTTAACTTTGAGCGAGTTTTGATGAAGAACATTTCCAAATACTGACAGCTCTAGAAACATATGAAGTTTACGTTATCATGAGAAAATTTGAAATTTCACCCTCTTTCATTCACTGAAACTTTTTTGAATCTTACATATTTGAATTCCTCATCAAAAAGTGAGTATAATCATATTTTTTTGGATAATAAAAAAATAAAAGGACTCTATTCCATAATTTTGGCAAGAACAGACACTTCACGAAATGAGTCATCTCCCTTGTAGACTTATCTCCTCCTTGGTTTTGAAACTTTTCCGCGATCATCGTACGTTATTCGCACCGTCATTTGAAGCTGAAAGAAAGTACTATCGCTTTTTTCAAAAAGCTTTTTCCTCGTAGAGATATTTGGATTTTAACGTTGAAAATATGAGCAAAAAAACATGTTTTTTTCAGAACTGCTCTTTTTTTAATTTTATTTTCAATTTTCACATTTGCCTGTAGATTAAAAACGATTTAGAATACGATGGACATGCTCGCTGATGACAAAGAAATTATCTCGTAGATTTCCGATAACTGTGATCCGAAAGAAATAGTTAGTTTCGTCATTTTGTTTGCTAGTATTCACAGCGATATTAGCTTATATCACGTACTCGATGTGAAGGGAAAGGAAGAATATGTTACATTGCGTATTTGGCTCTGTTTTTCTCATTGTCCTCGAGATAATTTCGCATTTTATTTTATCAGCACAGAGAACGAGAGTGGACCGCGAATTTTTGACTATGGTGGCTGCGTATCGATGTTAAATTGCTCATAAGTGAGTGGATGCATTCATTTCTGGAGATTTCCAGGCGTTCATTGAAGAGGGCTGGGGCAGAAAACATTTCGATTCATTCGACGATGCCTATTCAGAGTCGGAGATAGAAGGGTGATCATTTTCATCGGAAGGTTGCTCGCGCAAAACTGTCGACTTCTGCGTGGCCGATCTTGTCAAGTTCATTGACCGCAAGCTATATGAGGTATTAGGGACAGTGAAGACTTTGGACGATCAACTTGTTCGATCAGAGACTAGTTGCCGTCTCGACTTGCGCCGCTCGAGCATATGTTTCACTGACAACAAGCAACATTGTTCATATTCGCGTAACTAATTATTACTATAGAATGGTGAAATCTATTCGTTTTATTCTTTTTCTTTCGAAAACAATTAATAAATATGAGACGTTCCAAAATGATTGCAGTCACTTTGTTTTATCGATAGTTTTTTTCTTTCAACAACAAATGCTCTCGGACGCCTACAAGAATGAAAAGAACAGATACATAATGATTTGTTTTGATAGGTTTTTCCTACTCAATGTGAAAAATACACATCATATTGCTGCTTCTTACCGTATTTAGTACCCAATTTTATATGATAATTAAATTTCTATTTTTGAGTTCTTCAATCTCTAATTTAGCTTAAAAGGTCAGTCGAGAGCGAATTAAATGTATATAATTTTGAATTTCATGATAAAACGAGTTATATCGTTATTTATAGGGTCTGGATGGAATCTAATTATTTCGATAGACAACGATCGTAAATTATCATAATAACTGTTTCTCATTAAAAGTTTAGCAAAACGTGTTTGCAGGATATTTTAGAAAGATTAAATTTTTTGAAGAATTTGCTCAAATACTGGAGAAAGTGGTGTTTCTAGTAAAAAAAAGGCTCCTTATTTTCTATTATGCAGAATGAAGAAAATTCATTTCTTCACACAACGTTATCAATAGGTAAGCGTATTGCTTGTCTTCAAGAATCTGAAATGAGTTCGTCTGATTATTATTCTATTACAAATTTAAACAATGCAATTATTTATATTTATAAATATATTGTTCCAATATCATATGTAGTAAGTAATCTTGGAAATCTGTTAAGTGCTTTAGTATTTTCTAAAAAGTCATGGAAAAAAAATGTTTGCGTATTCTATTTTAATATATGTCTTCTTATAAATTTATGTTTTACTAATTCGAC